TAGTAATGAAGCCAGGATACATTTTCTCATACTTTTCAGACTCATCACCAGTGCAGCGGAAATCTAATTATAGGTTTGCTGTGATGATTTCTGTTCTGAAGGGAGTTTAAAATGAGTTACATAAGCAGAACTATGTAAGTCGAGCGTGGAGGAAAGTCAGCTGAGGAAATAATGATTACTATGTCAATATGTACATTGCGATCTGACGTTGAAGTGATACCTTAACACAGAAACATGGTCCGAAACGTGTTACTGCTCATGCTGATGAATACTTGCAATGTATTTTCATCTTCTTGGCAGGGCTACTACTGCAGTCTTCTGACTGGGGAGTGCTGTCTCTGGTCCCAGAGCTAGCTGGTTCAGGCAGCGGCAGAGCTGCGAAGCCCTCGCGCTGGTGTAGTGGCGGCCCGATAACCGGGCAGCTGACTGCCTGATGGTACTTCATCCTCGGGTTAGGTGTGATGCAGCAGCTGACTGCCTGATGGTACTTCATCCTCGGGTTAGGTGCTCCTGATGCAGCTGGGGAGGGTGCTCTGCAGGCCATCCAGGAGTGAACTGTTCAGTGTCCAGCTGGCTGAAGTGTCCAGAAGTCACTGCCCGCTTCTGGCCAGGACGGAGCCTGCCTTTGCTCTGTTCACCCTGCTGGAAACCGCCTCCTGGAGGTAGAGATCGCACCTGGGTTTAGCAACAGAGAAACTGTGCCGCTCCAGAATACTGTCTGTGCTACTTGCTTGCCAAAGTACAAACCCCAGGGTTTTCAATTCAGCTTCCAGAGGATTTCCATAGTCACCAATAAATACGCACATATACAGAGTCGTTCTCTGCTCTTCTGTTGTGTGAGGTGCATCTAGCTCAGATGTACACAGACAACATCGAGGAATCCCAATTCTGAACTTTCATTTGAATGAAGATCTTGAAAAGTTTATTTCTTGAACACCATCTGTGCAGAGGAAGCTTTATACATCCCAGGGAGCAAAAATGTAGAATATGCATTGTCAGGTATCTTGGGCATCCAGTGGCAGCTCTACATTCACTGGAGAATGTCAGTGATTGCTATGGAGGCGTTCCTTTGAGGCTATACTCTGGGCTCTTCATATATTTATCAATAAATCACAAAATTCATGAGTATGTTTACTGAGTATTGCTTTATGAGTGTATGTTTTAATTAATAAACCTAAGTTTCCTCTAAGTTGTCAAACGTGATGTTTCCTGAAGATTGCAGTCCTTCCAACTTACCTGCAGTTCAGTGGTGTTTGTACGCTGTTCATTTTAACTGTGGCCATTATGAATAATCATCTCAAATTAATGCCGTACCCAAGCTATTTCAGTATGCACTTATTTAGAATATTGTTCTTCATGATAAAGTTCTTGGATCCATCGGTTCAATGTGCCTGGGCAGAATAAAATCTTCAGGGAGGTCAGAGCTGGGAAGCGACCTCAGTCAGCAGAAGTCCAGCTTTGATTTTCTGCTCCTTTAAAGACTACTGATTCAACCAGGTCTCCCACCTTCAAAACTTCTGTGAGAAAAATCCTCTATGGCGTTTTAAGTGGATAACTGATAGTTTTGCTTATTAATTCTGTGTTGCTTCCTGGCTTGGCTCCAGGGCCACATTTAATTTTGGGGAAATGCCCCCTCAGCAGTCTTCGCTAAAAAAGCTAGGAGTAGAAGAGTTTTGCAGATGTTAGGCACAGCACTCAGCAATAACCTCACTGAATGAAATGAGACGGCCTTTGTTCACAGCTCCTTTCCTCTGCTCCCCTCCTTTCTGACGGTACTGTTGCATTTTAATCAACCCTGTTCTAGTCTCAGACTGCTGAAACCTTCCAGGAAATCAGTTTTGGGGTATCAGGCTATGATGCTTTTAGAGAAGCCCATAATCCCCCTTTCTGGGGGCTGTATGATGCATTCAGATTAAGCAACCAACAGTCTCTGAATAATTCATAGCAAAACTTTATGGAGACCTGATGCTATTCAGAACCACCAGAAAGGTCAATTTATCCTCCTGGCTACTGCTAGCTATGGCATAAAAGAATCGTAAGTTGAAACGGTTGGCATACATAGAGGAAGAATTCTGTTTCATTCCTAAGTTTGTCAACATGTAAAACAATATGAATGAAACTTTCCATTATCTGCATCTGACTGAAGTGTCCCAGCCTGCTCCTCACACTTTTCCTGATCTCCAGGAAATACGAAACTGCTGACGTTTCTAAAGCAGGCATGCTCATCATTTTCCAGGAGTGGGTTGTTTCTTCAGATGCTCAGTTCTGTCCCCTGATTCTGCCCAGCCCATGATATCTGCCTTTGGCCATTCTGTTTTAAAATTTAGAGATTCAGCCCATTTATTTTTTCTTCTTGCTTAGTGAAAGATTTTAAAAATGTTTTCTACTCTTCCTGTAAGTCTATTCTTGTCCTGCAAGAGGAGTGAGCATAAACTTCGTGGGGGACTACTGCCTTTTGCATCCTTATTTTGCTCTTACATATACATATGCCATCTCGAGGCTGCAAAGGCTTGTTCATGCTGACCTTTATAATTTTTTGTTTGCTTTTACAGAGTGTTTGTAAAGAGTTCATCATAACTGTTTACAGCAGTCCTAAACTCTCTATTAAATACAATTTCAACAAGCGACTGTCCTAGTTTCAAGGTTGCTTCTTAGTGGGGAGTCTGAATTCAATTGCCTTTTTAGACATTCTTTATCAATTTTGATACTGTTTTCTCCTGACCATTACATCTTCAGACCCACCTTAGATTAAAACAGCTCTGTTTAAAATTATATTATTCTTTAAAATGTTTAAACACATATTAATCAAACTGTCATTACCGCACTTGGTGTTTCATACCAAACAAATATTAATTTTTTTTTTTGCATGCATGTTTAACATTTGCATTCCCTAACAGAGCCATTTCTGGAAAATGGGAATAATATCCAAAAACAATATGTAATTTTATTCCAGCATACACAAACAAATCTATGCCAACCTTGAATCACAGATTTAACTGGTTTGTTTCACAATTTCTGATATTTTCACACATTTAATTTATTACCTTTTATTCTGTTTTTGCCCTCGTTTGACCCCGGTGTCTTGCAGTGCTCTGGGTTTTTCTGTTTTTCCATACCTTCATGCTCTTTAGATACGCACTTTGTTGATTCAGTTTTTACAGTTTAAGAATAACCAATTGAGCACTTCGGATAAAATTTCAGCTAAACTCAAGTTCTCAGTCAGAGCTGGTGCAGCAATTAGATGTATCTTGTATAAGGCAGCCGATAAGAATAGTTTTTATTTCTTTCTGTATTGTGGCCTCTACAGCGACAGTGCATTAAGGCTGTGTTTGGGAACGCTGCTTGACCGTGTTTGCATGTGCGACATTGGACTCTGGTGCTTGTTCTACCTTTGCTGGAAGCTCTGTACCTGTTACCTGCTCCTGCTCTTCTGTTCTTACATGTTAGTTACAAAAACATAACAGGAATTACTGAAACAGTAGTTAACCTGTTTTCTTTCGATTATCACTAGACTTGAAGGGGATTTCTTCCAGTTCTTGCCTTCCATACCCAAGGTGTTCGATGAGGGCTAGGGCAGGTGGAACACTGTTTCTTAATGGGTCCATTGTCCCCTGATGCTCGTGTCCCATTAGAGCATCCCCATCCCCGTGGTATGCACTCCTGGGGATGGCCTTACTGCATGAAAGACAGAATGATTTTATAACCTCATTTCTGCAGTCTTAAAAATGTGATTTTTTTTTTTTTTTTTTTTAAACACATATATATTGCTTATATTGGAGCTATGGCTTGTCTTCTCATTGGCACATTTCTGATTTGTTGTTCTTGATCGATTTGGGCATCAGAAAGATTAAATAGTAACTTAGATTTTTCATATTCTTTGTTCTCCCTCAGGAACGAGAGACTCAGAACACTGTGTCTGTATAGACTTACATAAATAGAAGCCCTATATATTTTTAGTGGATTTTTTTCCTGTTAGTACTAATGCATTTATATGTTATTTCTCATGCTTGGTTTTTTAAAATAAAAGTCTATGCCCCCTGAGGGGCAAACTAATATTTTCTAATTTTTATAAGCCTCTTCTCACACTGGTATTGTCTGTAAACACTTGAATCGTTCAGGACCGAAGAATGGAACTCAGTGTCAGTAAACAAATCACGTTTATTCCTTCCTAAGTGTTTACACAATGACAAAAATCAAGCCCCCAGGGAATCGTATTGTAAAAAGGAACAGTTGGTTTAAATTAGGTTTCCATGTGAAATGTAGCTACTTTTTATGGATGTTGTGGGAACATAAACTGGATAGAAAATCTGCACACTGATAAAATGAAGGTTTGATTTGTATTTGTTTAAATACAAACAGAATCATGTACTAAGTTAATTTCTGATTCTGGCATTAATTAGTCACTGAACAAAAGTTGGTAGTATGGTCACACTTAAGAAGGTGGGGTTTTTTTGTTTACTTCATTTGTGATCTTGCAAATAGATCATGTGAACTATTTTAAATGTTTGGTGCCTATAGGAATTAGCAAATTTGTACATTAAATACAACTACTAGTTTTGCAAAATTAAATTAAAATAAAAATTCCAATTTATCAACTTTCACTGTCCACATTGTAAGAATAACGGTTATTCAGTGAGGCTGAGATTTGTAAGCTATGTTAATGAGAGTTTGCACTGCAGATCCCTCTGGCAGCTTTAGAAATCAGCGCTGCCTTAAGCTGTCCATTTTCTTCTGTGGTCTGAATGCATATTCAGAATATCTTATACTAAGATACAGTAGTTTTTTGTTTCATATAAGTATTTCTAGAGCAGTTAATGATTTAACTGTTGCAACGTATGTCTGTGTGTAAGGTGTGATTGTAACGCATATGTGATTTAGCTGTGAGCATATAAGTAAAATTTTGACTGATACCCTCCTGACAGAAGGAAACCAAAAAACCCCACATTATCCATCAAGTGGCATGGCTTTGGCTGACTGTGCTGTATGTTTTATTTTACAAGGTGAGCTCGTGGGTTACCTGGCTGATCCTGACTGCAGGTTCTATGGAGGAGAAACGAGAAGTCTTCTCATACTTAGTACATGTGGCAAAATGCTGCTGGAATATGGGCAACTACAATGCTGTAATGGAATTTCTGGCAGGGCTAAGGTACTGGCAACTCTTTTTTTAAATGGCTTTTCCGTGATAGATTACACTGCAGCTTCTGTTAAGCAGATGTCTCTGGAGAACAATGGACTAAACAGAAATCCGTGGCTAAATCACATCATCTCACCCTGTGACTTTCTAGTAATCCCTTTTGGAAAAACAAAACATGCTAAAAGCTGTTCTTTTCAAAATGCTCTGGAGATGCCATCAGTTTTCGTGGTACATACTAAATAAGTTACATTAGAAAACATACTACTTTTTTTTAAACAGAAATTTTTAAAATGTGAAAAGAAGATGGGAAAGCAGTTGAGGTTTATCTGGTTTATCAACTAAAATGAATGTAACTTGGGGTTGGATTTTCCAGAGCACAAGTGAAACATAATCATGGTAATATTCGAAGAATCAGTCTCAAATTGTAAAAAAACAAAACAAAACAAAACAAAAACCCAACCCAAAACAACAAAAAACCCCAAGAAAACCAAATGAACAGCTAAACCTCTTTTTTAACCCCTCCAATTTACTTACACTGACTGATGTTGGGTTCTCATGCTGTCATGGTCTTATATACCCAACCTGCAGTGTCTCCAGGAGAAAGACAGAGTATGGGGTTAAAGCCAGTTTGTTGCTAGCTTTCCTAGAGAATTGCAGGTTCTTACAGGGCCGGGTGAGCAGGAAAGCGGTGCCTTTGCACGGGTAGTTCAGAGGGCAGCAAACTGGACTGAACAGGGAAGAGTTAAGATCAGATTTCCCATCTCTCAGCTCTGACCCTCCCCGTATATCATGTTTGTGTAACAAAGCTTTGAAGTGTTTGTATTGTCGCTCTTTGTGGTTTAGTAAGGATTCTCATTGAGCTATGTGTTTACATTTTTGCTATATAAAACTCATTTGAAACACTCATAGACACGGGGAGTCTTTCAGAGCAGAATGCATCCACAGTCTCCAAGCCATGTAAATCGTGAGGGAGAACGCAAAGCAAATTAAGGGCTTAATTTTATCTCTAATGCATCTGCACAGCACAAGGGAAAGCGAGGAGAGGAAGACTAGAGCTGATTAGCAGTGTTTCCAGGACAGGGACAGAAAGTGGGGTTAAGGACATTCTGCTGTTAGCGTTTCTGCAGACCTTTTGGTGTGTCTGGCGCCAGGGGTGGGTAGAAAGGCCATACCATTGCACAGGCATAAAGCTCAGAAGGTGAGAGACCTCCCAGCAGTACTCGCAGTCCTTGGGGAGCATCAGGAGCTATTTCTGTTTGAAATCAAATATTGTTTTCATCTACAGCACTGTAGAGAGCTTGAGAGCTGCAACATGGTCCTATTTATTTATTTCCATGAAAATAAAGAATTTATTTTGTGAGGGAAATGGGGAAAAAAAATCAATGTAAAGTATTTTAAATTAATTAAAACCCCCACTTTTGCTAACTTTATGGATTGTTCATAATACAACTAAAGGAATGTGTAATAACCCTTCTGGTTTATCTTTATGCCATTTCCTTACTCTTTTATTATTTCTTCCCAGCCCCTTATAAATTTAAGGCAGTGATACAATGAAGATGTTAGAAAGCCTGCTCGTATGTCTCATGCAGCTGGGCTTTTATGAAAATGTCAGATGTTAGTCCAGTAGATCAGACTGCTTGTTTCTCCTTTTTAGTTTTGTTCTTTAATAATTCAAAGGGGGGAAATGGCCCATCAACCAAAATTTTCATAAAAATAATGACCTTGATTTCATTCATTCCTTTCTGAGTAATGATGATAATTTCCTCTATTACATATATGCTGCGAGTGTTGAATGTAAATTGGTTTTAATTTTTTTAATAAACGTCGTGATCTCTTTTTGCAATAGGTCAAGAAAAGTTTTAAAAATGTGGCAATTTATGGACCAGTCTGATATTGAAACCATGCGAAGTCTGAAAGATGCTATGGCACAACACGAGTCATCATCTGAGTACAGGAAGGTGGTCAACCGGGCACTCAATATTCCGGGCTGTAAAGTCGTTCCTTTCTGTGGTGTATTTTTAAAAGAGCTTTGTGAAGTTTTGGATGGAGCATCAAGCCTCATCAGACTCTGTCCACGATACAACTCCCAGGATGAAACATTAGAGGTAAATGAGATTGATATTCTAAGAGGTTATGTTCATAGCCATCCAGTGCTTTATTTTATATTATTTTATTTTGTATTATTTATTGTTTTATATGAGGGTATCATCTAATTAAAGTTTTCTAAACCAGACTGTTACCAGACTATTGAGTTATGTGGACCTCAATTTAATTCCTATAGTTTCTGTAGCAATTTAGATTTGGTTGTTTATACCTAGTTCAGTGTCGGAGTACTGAGACATTGAAGTTAGTACCAAAGGATCATGGTTACACTTTGGGTAAAGTAAGTATGTAAATCCTTAAAGATGTTAATTATTTTCTATTAAATGCTCTGACTTTCCACTTAACTCATTGGGAATTGGAAGGTTTGCAGTTCATTAAAAATGGAATTCAGAAGCTCAGTGGATCAAGCTTTTCCTCTATGAAAAGAAGCATTTCCTTTGAGTTTTATCATTTTGGTTTTAAAAGAAAAATGCCCGTTATATGAAAAGATTAAGACTGAGGCTTTTAAAAAGTTTGCAGGAGTTATTGTAACTTATGTTACTTGATTTATGCAGTGATTTGGTCTGTTTAGGGTTGGAAGTAGGTACAAAATCCCATTAGAAGCTAATAGGAAATACATGCTAAATACTCTTAATTCTTGTAAAAATTTCTCCGCTGAGAAGTAGATGACACAATATTCTATTTATTGCTGTACTAATCTTTCACATATCTCTAGTTTGTTTCAGATTACACTGGACAAGATAATTTCTTGCAACGAGTAGGCCAAGATGGTTTAAATAATCCAGAAAAAGAATCAACAGCAAACAATATCTTTCAAACTATTCGGAGCTGCAATCGCAGCTTGGAATCTGAAGAGGGTGAAGATAATTTTAGTGAAGGGAGCAATTCAAGAAAAAACTCTTTGAAGGACAAAAACCGGTACCAGTAGGTCTCATTTTATTTTCTGTTTTCTATTTCATGTTTTTAATTTTTAATTTCCTTTTATCAAGGCTTGCTTTTAGAAATAAGGGTGACTTTAACATCTTCCCTTGTATTTATCCTCTTCCAATTCAGAACTTCCCCCCTCTGGAGTTATGCTAAGCATCTGATACTCAAATGCTTGGAAACTCTCTGTATAGTTATATTTTCCCTCATGATGTAATTACTTCCTCTCACGATAAGGGTAAATCCTTTTCGTCTTACACATAGAGCTTTAAAAATCCACAGTTACGATTACAATTTTGATCTGTGGCGACAGGAATAGCACCAGGACGTATCTGTTGTCAGAGTTCAGAACATTATATTCTGCACACTCGGGCAGCGTTCTGCCCCCTTCAAAATAAAGGTTATTTATTATCCTTCAAAAGACCTCTTCTTTTAAGGACATGTTCACTTGAGGCTTTTAAATTATGTCCAGAAAACATTTGTAAGTCAGTACACATTTTGAATTTTCAGGTTGCTATAGTCCTGCTATTTTGTGTAGAAGTTTACTTAATTGTGCCCCATGTAAAAGCCCAGTGTTCAGTAATCTCAAATTGTCACTTCGAAGACCTGGTGTATTCTGCACTATTCACCACCAAGAAATATGGTAAATGCAAAGTTTAAGACTTCACTTGATCTTCCAGAACGTTGCTTTGCAGTGAAGTTGCAGCCTGTATAGACATAGGTGGGTTGGCTTTAAACTAAGTAACCATGTTAGAGTATCTTCAAATAAGGAACAGAACTGTATTGGTCGGGGGTTAAGTGCTGTAAAATGATGTGAGGGCTTGCTCAGGTCACTGCTTGAGGTATGTTATTGATAACACGTATCAGAAATATCCATATGTTTGGAAGTATCCAACATATTTCAGCTACTTACACATAAAATCTAATAACTGCCTGAGAAGGAACTACCATCTTCCTGTTTTAAATGCATTTATTTCATTAACATGCATTTCCAAATTTCATTTCAAATAAATAATCATTATTTCCTGAAAGAATGGTTTCTAATACAATTATTCACATCTGGCTTTAGTTGCTTCTGGGAAGTGGAGAAGTAAATTAAGCCAAGACAGACAGTCCCACTTCTCGTCTGTTTATGTTGTCTCTTGACTTACTACAGTTCAATGCTTGCTACAGTTCAAATGCTTTCTTCCAGAAATTATTTTCGTTAATTAATATGCTTTAAAATCAGCTTGCAACTCACAGTCACAATGAACATTTCACTTGGATGAACAAAGTAGAAGTTAAATATAGAAGAACAATATGGAGAAAATGAAGTTCTCTTTGTTATGTGTTTATGAAATCAGCTCTTGGTAAATTAGTTATTTATGCTTTATATTTAAATATAGTCTAGTAAGTTCCACTCTAATTAAAGTAGGAATTAAATGCAAAAAAGAAAAAAAAGCTGATATGACACTGAAATGAAAGTTTAAAATTTAAATGACCAAAACTGCAGATAGGTAAAGTTATGTTTCCTGATTCAGGGTAAGTACTCAGTTATTAGTATCTGTAATTCTGGTGCAGCAAGTACTGATTTTAACAGTGTAATAACTTGTGGAAAAATACTTCTGAAAGTATTAATTTAGCTCAAGTACCTCGTAGACTTTGGAAATGACTTACTCACCTGCCGTATCTTTCCTGGGCATTCAGAGAGCTTGGGTGAGCCACGGGAGCAAACTGCAGAGGCTGAAGGGCCGTATTCCGTTGTCTCTCTTGTATGGAGGCTGCAATGTTTGGTTTATTTTTAATGCTATGAACAACTAAAGAGTTCGAAGGAAGAAACTTAGGTTGCTTTCTTGTGAGACCTAAGTCATATTTGCATACAGCGTTATAAAATCCAAATGATACAGTGATTATGTATTACCTGATAATTGTGGTATTGTGGTCATAAAGGCAGAAAAATACACTCTAAAACATGTTTCCCATTACTTTAAAATTGCAAGGAAGATTTTCAATTAGTTTGCCTTTTGCTGATTTGGATTAGTATTGTGGAACATGAACCCACCAAAGCTGATAGTTTGATTTGAAGAAAATGAAAGGCATCTAATAAAATCAGAGGGTAGTGGGTATAACTGCTTTCCCAGTTGTGTTAGCAAATACACCCTCTAATCGGTGGCCTGTTTAGTCACCCTGAATTTCTGTATATGCCAGATAAATATCAAACTTTAATTTTTTTTATTAGAACTCTGTCTTGAAGGTTCTCAAATAAATAAAGGTAGGTAGGAAAAGACAAAAACTTTCAAGTTTGAAATACAGTTTTTATAGAATGGTTAATCAAATGACCTGTTAAGATACTCTAAACTTTGGTGTATCGCTTTATTAGCCTGATCTCATCTTCACTTTTAAGCTTTCCTAATTACGGTAAATACCTTTAGATAATAGGAGAAAACGTCAAGTTTTTTTTCTTTTTGTATCCCATGCAATTTTCTCCTGTAAAACTGTTTTAATGTTTCCTTTATCCTTTGTTTTCATTTCCTTGCATCTCAGTGCAGCCCACGTAAACCGAGCTCTGTAAGTGTGTTCTCAGTAGTTGATAGCTGTGTCGCTTCTGGCAGCTCATGTCAGAGGTTATGTTTCTGTATGTGATTATGTGCGTGCGCTTGGCTTACCTGCTTCTTGTCCATTTTAATCTGCAGCATGCCAGTGTTATCAAATGTGAAATAAGGCATAAACGAAGCTCTGCCATTTTTGTCTCCACTGTACTAGACTCCTCCAGCCATGCGCATATAGTCTCAGAATACATTTTCTAGCACTTTTGCAGAGACTTACTTGATTTTTTTGAGGAGAGAAAGAGCTGCTTTAGTTGTTTGTTTAATTTGAAAGTCTTAGTCTTGTATAAAACAGGTAAATATTTTAATGTACATGTGCCTGGTAAGACTCCTGTAAGACAGTTTATTCCAGCTCAGTTATAATGCATGAACTTTATTTTTAGGAAGATTTCTTAAGGAAATAGAGCCACAGTTAAGGCTGATACAGTTATTCGGCCTTTGTTTGACAGTCCCCTCACAACAAGCGATAAATCCTCAGCCTGTTGGCCACTTTAAGCTAAATTTGGCGGAGAGGTAGAGGTCTCCCTGATTAATAAATTCATAAAAGAATCATTAGGATTGATGTATGGAATAAGGGAAACATTCAAATTAGTTAGTGCCCTGGGGAGAGAAGAGTTTGAGGAGGAGCTAATGGTTATCCGTGGTGTTTGGCTTAGGGAGATAGTGTATGTGACTTGTTCCAAGTCACAACAGGAATCGTCTTTTGCTCAGCTGGCAGGAGCTGAGAGTACTGTGGGGGTACGAAGGGGAAGCACTGAGGGTATTAGGACAAGATGCCCTGAAGAATGTTCAGAGGAAGCTGTTTTGCATTTTATTGGACGGATATTCCTAGGAAAATGTGCTTAATTTGTTCTGCTGGACACAAAATAGTTTGCTCTTTTTTATGTTCATTAAAGCAGTATCCAAAATATTGAACATTTGTTCATTCATACGTGTGAGAAGCTTCTGTAGGGAAGAAATATTATTTAAACTACCTCATTTATTAGTTCAGTATTATTGCTCTGTATCTACTGTTTCCAATTATGGTAAAATATTTCAAAAATTTCAGTTGCTGCATACAAGTTTCATGCTAATATTTTGCTTAAGTAAAATTAAATTTTCTAATGGAAAGTATCTGATAAAATTCTTGTTGCATTCTTATGAGGAAGGCATGTATTTTAACCACTATTTTACAAGTGTTAATCGGAGAATTATATAATGTGAAAGGTCTGCACGTTAAATCAATAACAGAACAGAGATTAGAAGTCCTGTATTCAGGGCACAGGATCCTGCTAACAGTTTCCACATATGGTACTTGATGTATCAACTGAAGCGATCTTATGCTGTGGATTTAGAAACTGGAATCACTTGGCTTTAAGATCCAAACTGAAGGTTTTTCTTGTTAATGTAATGTTTGGAAAGTTCTAAGAAAATATAATTATATTGTTACAGGAGTTATAATTAATTGTAGCAGCATCTATTAATTAATTCAAAATTGCAATATCATAAATTGTAATACTGTAAAAACTACAGATGTTCCAGTAAGTCCAAATTATATAGTGACAATAGTATTCTTTTTATTTAAACTACAGCAGAAAAAATATTCATCAATCCTGGCATAAATCAGTACCTGTATCACTAAATGTAAGTCATTGTTCACTTACAGATTTATAATTGGAGATCTTTCAGATTCTGAAAGTGATATATTTGAGCAGTTGAAGGAGTGGGACACCAATTCAACAGAAGAGCAACAAAAGGCTTTCTGCCATGGGATAGAACTCATTCCCTGGTATGTGTTGTCTATCAGGGCTGATGTCCATCAGTTCATGCAACAAGGGGCCACCGTCATTCATTATGACCAGGAGACACATCTCTCAGCACGTTGCTTTCTTCAACTTCAGCCTGACAATAGTACTTTGACTTGGACAAAACCCACAACAGTTTGCCCTGCAAATTCTAAGGCAAAACTGAGTATGCTGGGTAATGCTGCTGAGCTTGGTAAATACCAGTTCCTTGGTAATGCTGGACTAGTGGAAGGTTTTTTGGACTTGTTTTCAGCCAAGGCTGTATATATGGGACACTCTGGCATTGATATGCACACTGTGTGTGTTCAAAATAAACTTTGTAATATGGCCCTTGAAGAAAATGGTATAACACTACTTTATGGACTTCAGACTACTGATAATAAGTTGCTGCACTTTGTTGCTCCAAAATATACTGCCAGAATGCTATATGATGGATTGCTGGAATTGATTAAAGCTGTAAGAAAAATGAGGAGATTTCCTGATCAAAGACTACAATGGCTACGGAAACAGTATGTCAGCCTTTACCAGGTAAAAGATGCTGTGATTTTGTATAAGTTCAAAGATGTCAACAACTTAATGTAAGGCAATTAGTTTCTATTATAAGTAAGCTAAGATTAAAGATGAACGCCAAATCTCCAACTTTGTAACACAGCTTAAGTCAATAAGACCTGATTCTCCACATAATGTTCTGTCAAACCTTGCATGTTTTCAATACACTGAAGTTAAATCTTTTTTTATTATGAAGCTCTTCATATGTTTGGAGTTTTGGAGTATTTTATTAAAGAAAAAGCAATGACTGTACTTGAAAAAGGGTGCTGAAGTACTGAGTGATGAGAGTTAGGGCCAAAAAAAACCCCCAAAATAGCAAACAAAATAGCCCTTTGGTATTCATGCAGTAATTAAAAATTGCCTCCTCTTGATGTTTTGTCTTTCATTGGCTCCTTAGAGATGTCTATATTATGGCTTAACAAAATGTGTCTCCTCTTATTCTCCTTGTTTTGTTAACGCTGACAATTTTTGTAGGAGGATGGAAGGTTTGAAGGCCCAACCTTGGCTCAGGCCGTTGAACTGTTTGGAGGCAGACGGTGGAGTGCAAGAAACACAAGCACAGGAACTCTCACCAAAAGCACCGAGAAACCTAGTGTACAGCGAAACAACACTCTGGGAATAAGCACAGCCAAGAAAAAGAAGAAAGTACTCATGAGGGTAGAATATTTTATCATTCATGTATTTTGTTGCTCATTTGGCTGATTTGTTTCCTTCCTACAGTGACTGTGTATTCTGAACCAGAGAAAAGAAGTTAGATGATAATTTTAAAACTGTTTGTTGCAGTTTCAGGTTTTGGGCTTATTGTTTTCTACTAGTTTGGGTTTCTTTTCTCATGTGTGAAGCATTCTCAGAACACGTGTGCACTGGCGCTGGCAGAAGGGAACAGAATCTTGTGGAGGGCTTTAGGTGCTACCTCAGTTTAAAGGTTAAATATTGGTGGTAATAAAAATACTAATGTGCAAAGTGATGTTTGGAGGGTGGTGTCAGTTTCTTTGCTCCTTCTTGTTCTCATGTTCCCAAAAACATCACCACAGTTATTCCACCTCAGGTTAGAATGCAGTTTTATCTTACGTGGCTGACAGGAACACTGGACTCCGTCTGACGGACTCCTCTGTTTTCCTGGACTCAATCACTTTCAGCAATAGCCACGAGAGAGGAAAATGTAGGGACTAGCAGCTCTACGCTATCCACGTGTTCTAGTGGGCAGGTAGGGGAGATCATCAAATGACAAGATCCATCCTCTTTAGGGCTCCTATGCACCAGTGGAATAGTGTGAAACCAGCTGCACCACTTTAGAGAGGCGCGATCGTTGTTGTCTTCTGTGTGATGTCAAACTGAGGTAACACCTAATGGTCCCACACTTCGCTATGTATCCTGTTTAAGTTGTCTCTTTTCTACTGGTGTCAGCCTTACAGGAGTCTGTTTCATAAGGAATAGCTGATTTATCTCATGGTTTTGTTACAGATTGCACTGATAAAGAATGGGAAAAGCAGTGTTTTCGGGATGTTTATTAATAGGGCTCATTATTTCTAGGGTGAAAGTGGAGAGGCCGCTGATGACGAAATGGCAACTCGGAAGGCAAAAAGCTGTAAGGAATATCGTAATAGAAGTGGTTCGGATCCTCAAGATATTGATGAACAAGAAGAACCAGGTAGATACATAGCTTCAGTACTTAAAAGTCCCTCAGGGTTTTGCTCAAAGTCTTTTTATACAGACATGGTGTTAAAAATACATTTATACATGGTGTTAAAAATACATTTATGATATAAAACTACTTTTGCAGTTGAAACTCTAAATGCTATAGATTTCTAAATTAATTTCTGTAGTTCATGACTGTTCTTTCATTTAGTTTCAGTAGCCCTTCTTTTCCATTCAGATGAAATGGGTATGTAAGTGTTGTTCAGAATGTATCTTTTTGACTGTCTTGGGACAAATCTAGAATCCCTTTAGTGTTGTACTGTGCGTTAATTAATTATGATATAGGTCTCTTGGACAAAAGCATTTTTATTGGGCCAAATGTTGTAATTGTGCTGCAAACCTTTGTTTTCTCCACAGATCAAAATATTATTATTAATGCTTCTCCATCTAATAATCTGCCATCAAGAAGAGCTCACTCTCTGACAGCATCTGGATCTCCTAATTTAGGAGCTACAACATCTTCACCAGCAAGACCAGTCTCCTCTCCTGTAATGTCTTCAAGCAAGAGTCAGTCTAGGTAAGGACAAAATCAGTGCTTTGATTAAAAAGAGTTACTGTTACTTAATTCTCATCAAAGGTGGTTTTTGTGACAAACTGACGAAATCTGACAAAAACAGTGCCAGAAGTGTCATTAGCCTTTTGACAGACATCTAAAATACATTGTAGAACAACATAGCACATTTAAGCTGAAATACCATGAATATGAGGATGGCTTTGTAGCAAGTCCCAGAGCAGCATGCTTCAGTTTATGTCTGTCACAGAAGCAGATTGGAATGCTGTTCCAAATATACACAAATACGGAGTTTAACTCTTTCTCCAGATCTTCTCTGAAACATAGTTATAGATGTCTCGTGTATAATAAAAATGAACAGAAGCGTTATAGATGTGTGGACTGAAGTTCTGAGGTTTCTCAGCACAAGTAATTTCTACCTGAGGGAGTATTAACTTTTGCTGACATTTCTGGTGATGATTGCTGTACTGTCTCGAGGAATTGGAGGAACAGATTTGAAATCTTTCTCTTGCAGGCCTCTCCTCGAACATTCATCCTTTTTGTGCCACTTAGGCAGTGCAAAAGGTCGTGCTGTGGTTGTGCAGTGACATAGTGCACTAATGTATTAGTTCTATGAATGGCACTAATGGTGGTGGTGGTAGTAGTTGTGGTAATAATAATATAGCAAGGATAATATGTTAGGGATGTGGATGGCACTTTATGACATACAAGAAGAGAATCTCGACAAAGTCCTTCTAGTGCCTTTTAACAGAATGAATACTGAGGTATGGTTATGAGTATGAATCTTGGGGTTTCCAGGACAGCAGTGGTAAAGAATGCTGTTCTGCTGCTGGTAGAACATTATTTTTTAAGAGACGTCTTGTGTAATGGTTTATGTTGTGTATTTCTTAGGGATTTTTTTTTACACTTAAAACAGTTGGGTTTGGCAGTGGATGTGAGTAGTAGAGCTGCCTGTGGACATCTGTGGTTGGCTGCTTCTCCTTTTAACACTGCTTTCTGAGGCTCTTACTATGTTCTTTACTTTTTGTTCTTCACTGTCATGCACAACCATGGGATGAATGTGCCAGATTAGGATTTATCTCTGTAAGACATTTGTCTTATTTTTTTTAAGGGTTGGAACAGCTCTCTTTTACACTGAACTGAAGAAATACTGCTTTACTACCTCTGGAAAATGCTTCTCTGTTTTGCAAATCTGCTTTTTGCTTTTATGCCAAAATAATTGTTGTTCTCTAAATGAGATTAAAAGGCTCAATGGAGAACTCTCATTCCCGGGGGAAGGACAGCTAATGTTACTTTAAATCCTCTCAGTCCTGGGTTTCTGTACAGATCGCTGCACAGCTTAGCACTGTGAGCCTCCCCGAGTTATGACAGGCTTTCCCTGGCAAAGTTGTTTGGAAACTCCACAGCATCGCTTGGTAGAGCTCTCCCCAACTTGATACAACCCTTCTTGCTAGAATTTGCTCAGGATACAGCTGTATGGCTGTTTCATGTGTCGTGAGGAAATCTTCCTTAGAACAGAATTACATGTTTTATCTTGACCCAGTTTTCATGAGCCATTAAGAGACTTGGAGCACTGGAGAGAGTTTTATTCTTGGTATTTACCCTTTGGACCCTTGATGGGTCTGAATTGTGCTTGCCAGTTTTCATGTGTGTGGACACTTCACATGTGCTAAATAAATAAATATCTGTAGTGCCTCAACTGTGATCAGTAAGTCTAAGCTGTCAAATAGTTGGCTCTCTGCTTTGCTGCAAAGTCCTGTGATCATCGACCCTGTAACTGTATTAATTCACTCCTGGGATCTCTTTTAGAGTAAACCAACTGGTTGCCTCCAAGATGGAATTCAGGTGCAGTTCTGGGAATATTTGCTCCAGAGACTTCTGTAATTAGATAGTATGGATGGAGAGCTTAGTCTCAAACCATCTACAATATACTGTCTTACAGGACACATTCCCGGCAAGGATTGTACCTTCAGGCAATCCACCCACGCTCATGGCACGTCCTACTGCTTTGTGTTACATTAAATAAATGGCAGTCTGTCAGGCAATAACATATCCCACAGCTTATTTCAGCCACTTCAGATATTACTCACACCAAAAATGAAAATGATGTCCTAGAGACAGGCAAGCCACCATGGGGGACCAAACCAGACCTGAGCCAGTTGCTGGGCAGTGCAGAGCAATGTGAAGGTGAGCCTTTCTGCTCCACTCGGGAAAAGTGGCAGGATGGATGCCTTTAGCAGTATAGATGGAACTGATGGAGGAGCAGACTGGGGCAGTGGGCCACAAGCTGTGGTATGTATAGCCTGCAAGCAGCGCAGTATGCTTCCTGGAAGCTGCTGCCCTTGACAGCAGTGATGCACAAGCAAAGTAAGTTTGGGAACCCACACAGGCTGAACGCAGATATCTTTTGTTTCTTTTTGCTCCATTTTTGTTGTTAATTCTGCAGTCTCATCAAAATCAAGTTATATACTTAGTAATACCCAACCAGTTTTGTCAGTAGCATCATAAATTAAGATAAAATGAAGTATCCATTTTCCAAAGTAACAGAAAGTTGGAATGACCTAGATAATGAAATAACCTAGGAAATACAGGATCCACTGGGAGTGCTTGTACGCATTAGTATGGCTCTGCACAGATTAGAGCCAACAGAGTTTATTAATTCGGATTAGTGTCTAGATTTAGACTCAAACACTGACAAGGCTTCATAATTGGAGGCAGTGTTGGACATAAGCTGGTTGTGCACGTTAGGTGAGTGCATGATCCCTCACAGAACCCAGAGCTTAGGAGAGTGGGGAGCGGAGGGGAGGGTCCCACCGGGCTGCGCAGAAGCCTTTGCGACACAGAAAGCTGAGCTGGTAACAAATGATTGTTAGCTGCAGTGTAGCAGCGAGAGGGAGAGCAAGAGCGACTTCTAGTTCTTTTTCTGTTGCCATATAATATGTGCATTAACTTTACCCAACCAGTAAATTAGATTGTCTCCACCAAGTGAGAAGCGCTAAATAAAATAAAATTTCTTAAAGTGAAAAAAAAAAATCTAAATATAATGATAACAATTTAAAAAGAGGAGGACCTGACCATCTTTATTGTACATTTTAAATAATAGTAATTCTTATAGTTAGAGAATGGAAAACGGTATTTTTATATATATAACTCACAATCTTAATATTCCTGACCTCCTTACAAATATTTTACATTGAGAATAAATCCTTGTACAGTCCAGATGTCCAGATAATTTCCAAACAGGTAGCCTGCAGCTGTCTTCTGTCATTCTTTCAAAGCAGATGTCCATCCAGCAAATTCCCAAGTTCTTTGGAGGAGAAGAAGGTGGAGGAAGCAGGGGAAAGGGTGGTAGGGGCACTAGGAAACAGGTAACAGGATATGGAAAATTAGAGATGGGGTTTTTTTTGCAGAGAGAGAGTAAACTGCCTCTCTTGTTAGCTTTATGCAGGTATAATCCAGACTGCTACTAATTACAGTTTCAGTTGTTGGCAGTAGTGGGGTTTTCTTGGGGTTTTTAGCATTTTTTAACAAGCTCTATGTATTACCCACGGAACAATTGTGGAAGATACTCTTTAGTGATCAGATCTGGTGAAATGCTGAGCATTATCATCTGCTGCTGTTCTTCCATTTGGTACTCTACAGTTTCAGTCTGTTTTCTGGAGTCAAGAGACTTTCCTCATCATGGTCTTGTCTGATAAAAATGTTAGGAATTACTTTAGCCAAAAAATTGTATGCAGTATGTCAGTACTTGCCGTAGTGATGTCAAACAAATTGAACATTATCAACTAAAGTAGGTGGTATTTTTTAATACTTTAAAATCACGTTCTGTTTGCAATTGCACACATCCATCCCAGGCCAGGAGTGAACTGAGGAATCTGATCTAGCGTATTTATATAAAAAGTCTCCTGTAAGCAAGTCCTGCTTGTAGCAGGTGACTGCAAATGTCTTTACAAACACTGGACAACAAGCTGGTCCCGTTTTTCCATCACAGCTGTTGGAACTGTTTGTACTGAACCTGATGGCAGGATTCATGTATTAATGGGTTTGTAGATTTGAACATTACAGAGCAATAAAGTCTGACACACGGTCACCTAGTCTGATATTTTGAAACAAATACTGTAACTTCTGGAGTTAGTTATGGTTTGAACTAGATAATTCTTGATATTCGTGCTGGCTGCTTAGATCCCTCCCTTTTCAGGATGCTGGTGCTGGCTGACCCCATTCCTGCAGCATGTGTTTATTGGTGTTTAGGCCAGGAAGGGGCTCAAGAGCTCGGCTCATCATTGCAAATCAGTACATGAAATTTGCTAAGGACTTGTTCATACTGCTCAAGGGATGGTTCAAGTTGGGGCCTAACTACACTTACTAGTGTAAATCCTGTAGTAGCCTAAATATTTTGGGATGTGGCTTTTGGAAATGTACTGGTTCTGCCTCAACAACTTTGCTCAGCTGCTCAACTTAGGTTAACAATTGCAGCTATAAAGAAATTGGGTGGGCTTGGTATTACTCAAGTGAACTAAAATAATTAGCACCAAACAGCTAGCTGTTTCTGTGGTCATCTTCTGCCTTTGCTCTCAAGAAATTCCAGTCTGCTTTCGTTCCTTCAGCCCACAAAGCTGAAAGCAGGAAATCATTAGAACCTCGTTTCTAGAAGGAAATGTCCTCCAGAGGCTACTGTCCAAGCCTAAAAGAAAAGGATTGTAGGTTGACCTGTCTTTGAGATATCTGATGATAATCCCAACTCTTCTTGGGAAGTGTCTGGGAAACCATGGGCTGGGAAACAATGAGGGTTGAGTGCCAGGAAAGTGGAAGGGTTATGCTTCTTAAAATCTGCACCTTTAACACTCCCAGGTATAAGAAACGCCAGGTGCATAAGGAAAATATTTTTCTTGAACATCCAGTGAGAATATTACTATTTTATTTTGACAGCGCAGAGCTTTAAGGAATTCTACATCCGTTTTATTTTTCCCTTAGCAAATCTTCAATGAACCTCATAAACAGCCTGCGCTACAAGAATACTGGCATTGTTTTCTGTAAAGGGAAAATGAGAATGCTTTCATTTATGCCATTTGCATCAGGCCCTTTTGCACATGGAAGAGTTTTAAATAGCATGCATATACGTTATCAATCCTGGCAAAGTCTGCAGTTGTCTTGAGGGAAAAGAATAGCTGCTGTAAACCAAGAAGGTACAAACTGTTGTTATGCATCTTATAAGATACTGCTTTATTTGCTTCTTCTGGATATTGGTAATAAATGCATTAAGGAGAGCACAAATAAAGTGTTAATGCAGTAATATGTAATATTTCAATAAGTAGAAATTTAACGTAGCCAAACTACAGCAGTCTATTTCTGATTTAGCACATGGAGCAGCAGTAGCTGGCATGGCCGCGTTAAAGGAGGAATGAAGGGGTTTCAGAACTTCATGGTGTCTGATAGTAACATGACTTTTGTGGAGTTTGTAGAGCTCTTCAAATCTTTCAGGTAAAATATATTTTTATTCTGTACTGATCTCATTCATCCAAGTTTATAAAAGAGCAAAAACTGAACTTCTCAACTCTTTTCACAGTGTCCGTAGCCGCAAGGATCTGAAAGACCTTTTCGATGTCTATGCTGTGCCTTGCAATCGATCTGGTTTAGAGCCTGCTCCACTTTACACTAATTTGAAGATTGATGAAAATAGCAGTGGATTTCAGCCTGATTTAGGTTTGTTAAAGAGGAAAATACAGCTGTTAGACTGCTGAACAGCTTCAGTTATTGGCCTTAAGAAAAAGTGTCTCAATCAGTCTCATAAATAACTATCAATTATAAGTTTAAGTAGAGGATTGCTGCCATACCTCCACTAATATACCTAGTTAGCAGGATGTAAGACAGGTTCTTTGTTCAGAAATGAAGGGGAGGAAAATTATTCCTGCTTCATGTTAGCCAGATATATTTGTAACCGGTATAGCAGAGGCATAAAACTTGCTGCTGGGTGGCTGGGCCCAACACAGGGATCTGGTTGGAGGAGGTCTGGAAGGTCTAAAACACTGAGCAAGTGTAGGGAGGAGAAATGAGAAGGTTGTGGCCTGTGTCTCATTTGTTTTTTTTTTTTCCTATCTGGTTTCCTAGTAGATCTGCTTTATGCGGGACAAGGGGGAAGGAAACCTCTGTCCCCCTTTACATTCCCCAGTTACCATAATCTAAGTCTGGAGCTTTGTCCACATTTAAAGAAAACAGTCTTTCTGCCCAGCAGCCTGTGGGGACGATACAGTGCAATTGGCATATGGGACTGGAAGAAGAGAAACGGTGATCGCGCAGGAAGGGTGTGGGGTTGTACACAGTGAAGGAAAGGCTTTGGGGCTCTACGTGGTGGTGAGAGGAAGCAGGAGGGTCCTGGGTGACAGTGTGTGAGAGGGTGTGAATCTGTGTTCAAGGTTCCGGGATTTTGTTTATAGAAATTGAACACTTATAGTCCACTCCCACCATTTTCACACATGCTTAATACTCTTTCTTCTAGTAGTGAATAGAAACAAGATGGTTTTGTTCTAATTTACTAGGTCATGGCTAAAATATTCGGTCAGATATTCATGTGTGTGATATATTGCATTATATTCTATACATAATACACGTAATTATATAGCTTATATTTATCTTTTTTTCTTTTAAGATCTGTTGACTAGGAATGTTTCAGACCTTGGTTTGTTCATTAAGAGCAGGCAGCAACTGTCAGACAACCAGAGGCAAATATCTGATGCTATTGCTGCTGCCAGTATCGTAACCAATGGTACTGGAGTTGAAAGCACATCGCTGGGAGTATTTGGAGTGGGAATCCAGCAGCTAAACGACTTCCTAGTGAATTGCCAAGGAGAGCACTGTACCTATGATGAAATCCTCAGTATTATCCAGGTCTGTAATATATACATCTTGCAATTCCTTTTACTTACTCTGTTTTCCCCACTAGCATTGTCCGCCTTGTAGTCAGAATAGCATATCTGTGTGGATATCTCCTTCCACACTGATGTTGTCACTACAGTTTAATTGAATTTAAAATTTAATACTGTCATTATTCTGGGCTATAAAATAGTGCAGATGCCCATAAGTATGTCCATAAAAAGAAAAAAAAAAGCATGCAAACAAACAGTTTTATTGGCTGCGTGTGCTTTATCCAGAAAAGGGTGTCACCACTTAGGAAAAGTATCCATGACAGTGCATTGTTTTATTCTTGTCTGTGACCGCCTTTGGTAGAGCCTAACCCTAATTTGGAACTTAAAAAAACACCATTTCCACATATTTTTATTTTATTATAAAAAAATTTCCTGAGCAAACACAGACATTTTATTCCCTTCTGTACAGTGGCTGAAGTGATTGGAAAGTATGTAGAAAATTTTGAATTCCTCCAAACACGCATAATTAATACACTCCCATGTAGCAGTTAACAAAGGCTGAAAACTGTATATTTCAGCTATCAACATGTAATATAAAATTGCAAAGTTTAAAAACCAGAAATTCTTAAGAAACCTCAAGTTGGCATACCACAAGTCTCTTTAATTAGAGATGGCAGTGTGTTAAGCACAATAGATAGGAGAAGGATGCCTGATTATAGGTTCTTTTTAATTTCAGTTTAAGTGCTGAGTCTGCTTTGAGCAGGATGTTGGACTAGATGACCTCCCAACACCCTTTCTAACCTGAATGATTCTATTATTTACAACTATGAGTTTAGCATGCTTGTTTAGTGATTTGTAAAATGAGCATGAGCATACTGCAGGCACCTAACTACCTTATCCACAAAAAGACTGGTTTTAGATACTAACTGGTTAGTTCAGTGAACAGACCACACTATGAAAATATGAAAAAGATGTATTTCTAAGAATTGTTACTCTCTTAAATTTCTTTCTCTTTATAGAAATTTGAACCCAGTGTGAATATGTGCCAGCAGGGGCTGCTATCTTTTGAAGGATTTGCAAGGTAATTATTTATATATTAATTATTTTTTAT